TGATGACCCTCTGTATTCTGTTTGCCAGTATCTTATTGAGGATTTTTGCATCTATGTTCATTAGGGAGATTGGCCTGTAGTTCTCTTTTTGGGTTGGGTCTTTCCCTGGTTTTGGAATCAAAATAATACTTGCTTCCAGGAATGAATTTGGAAGTATTGCTTCCCTTTCAATTTCTTTGATGACTTTAAAGAGTAATGGCGACAGTTCTTCTCTAAATATCTTGTAGAATTCAGCAGTGAAGCCATCAGGACCTGGGCTTTTCTTTGTTGGTAAATTTTTAATTATGTTTTTAATTTCACTGACTGTAGTTGGGGTATTTAGTTTTGATGTGGTCTTTTTAAAGTGGTAAACAAGAGCCAAATATAGTCCCAACCACTTGGGAGGCTGAGGCAGGAGGATCACTTGAGCCCAGGAATGTGAGAGCCTGTATCAGTCAGTCAGCCAGTGAATAAAAAGTATGACCAATTCTTGATAAAGGTCTGAACAGAATACAGATTGCATCTCCCATACCTGAAATATATGGGACCAAAGAGTTTTGGATTTCAGATATTTTTTGGTGAGGATTCTAGAATATTTGCTCATTAATAATAAAATATCTTGGGAATAAGACCAAAGTCAGAACATAAAATTCATTTATGTTTCATATGCACCTTCTAATGCACGATTTTCATACACAATTTTTAATCATTTTGTGCATGAAACACATTTCATGATGTGGAATTTTCTACTTATAGCATCGCAGCAGGGCTGAAAAGCTTTCAGATTTTGAAGCATTTCAGATTTTGGGTTAGGGGTACTCAGCCTATATGATTATTCCTTCATTTACATAGTAGTGGGTCTGGAAAGTTTATTGTGTATTAAAGCAGTGTAGGGCCGGGTATTTAGCTCAGTGGTTTCGCCACCTGCTGCACATGCGCAAGGACCTGAGTTCGATCCCAGGTTCCAAAATAAATAAATAAATAAATAAATAAATAAAGCAATGTAGAAGACACTTAATTTTTACCTTGCCTGGAGATAGTTACACTTTCAGCTCAGGAGATTATGGACCAGTTTTTCACCCACACCAGTGCCTGTAGGCTAGACAGTTGTTTGTGGGCTGGCACTGCCTCGAGCCATTGCAGGTCCTCAGTACCTAGCGCCAATCATTCAGACACCCCAAGTGCCACCATAATGTTTCCAGCGCTCCCGATGCTGGACAATGAGCGGCTCGGGTCACCCTCCCATGTCGTGTGTGAGTGCGGCCCGAGTCCAGCTCCAGCTGACCCGCCCCTTCCGTGCAGCGCCTCAGCGTGCAGAACGTCATCTACGTCCGGGGCTGCACCAACGCCGTGCTCATCTGGTTCATGGACAACTACACCATCATGGCGGGGCTCCTGCTGGGCATTCTGCTCCCCCAGGTGGGCACCTGGCAAGGGTGGGTGGAGTCGGCTGGGGTGGGCACTGGAGGGAGGGGGTGAGTGACAGTAACCATGGTTACCGAGATCACCCCCGGTGCTCCCTGGGCACCGTCTCCTCTGACGCTGTGAGGGAGATGTGATTTTCATGCCCGTTTCCCAGAGGAGACTGAGCCTCGGCAGGGTGGAGCAGCTTGCCCTAGGTCCCTGTCATAAGGTGGCAGGGCTGGGGAGGAGGCTGGTGGAACCCGGGAGGTCCCCAGGATTTACAGGGAGGTGCAGGCTGGGCTGCCTGGGCAGTGGGGGTGCTGTGCTGTGGGGGTTTCCCAGGCCACCCCGTGCCAGGAGGGCTTCAGCCTGGCTGCTTGCATTTCTGGGGCCTGGGAACTTCAGGAGGGCTGCCCTGATGCACACAGGCACTCACCAGCGCTGCCCTGATTTTGCAGTTCTTGGGGGTGCTGCTAACGCTCCTGTATATCACCCGAGTGGAGGACATCATCACAGAGCATTCTGTCACCGACGGGCTCCTGGGACCTGGCACCCAGCCCAGAGTGGAGGCGGTGGGCACAGGGTGCTGCTTGTGCTACCCCAGTTAGGGCCCTGCCTGGGACAGTGGCTCCAACAGGACTGTGCCAGGTGGTAGCACTTGGTCTGCTCAGGCGGGACAGGGCTGCACTGTGGCCCCTCTGCCCTTGCGGCCGTGTGCCTGTGAGTGGCACCCGTGGTCACTGGCCCCAGGGGTGGCCTGAGCCTCTCCTAAGAGGCTTCTCCAGTGCTTCGTGCTCTGGATGCTGTCCCCACACTGCAGGGCCTGTGTACCCTGGCATCCACGCTCCAGGCCTGGGCTGTGGGGTGAAGGGGAGCTGAGTGCCTGTTCCAGCAGTGCCTTTGTCGTGGTCGTTGTGGCCCACTGGAGGGCAGTTTTGCAGTGATTTGTAAGCGGAGAGAGAAGAGTGTGACTCCATGGGGCAGGAGGAGCAGCGTGCAGCCCGGTCCCTGTGCCCTGGCCACGCCCCAGGCACCTGGGCGGGCCATTTCTCTTGTGCCTTGAGCCCCTTGCAAGGGCGCTGCTCTGCTGACCCATTTTATACATGACTTTTGTAACATTTGTGTTTTGTATATGGTTAACAGGAGTTTCTGACTACCCAAAGCCAGATGTTCCCCCACACGCCCCTCTTGCCCTACCAGTCAGTTCATTAATCAAACAATAAAGTCATGATTTTTTTTTTATTTTGGCTTTTTGAGTGCGCCATTTTGGTGAGGAGTGGGTGAGCAAGGCCTCCACGTGGACTTGGAAGCCCCTTGGTGCAAGGATTGAAGGAGGACCACTCTGAGGTGAAGGTTTGGGGCAGTTTGGAACACAGGGCCAGGGAACACCTCAGCAGGAGGCAGAGGGATAACCCCTCTTTCACAGACTGGGAAACTGAGGCTGAGTGTTGTATGGCCTGAGGCCCCATGATGGGGAAGCAGGACAGCCAAGGCTCTGGGAAGGAGCAGTGTCCCAAAACCCGCCTGCGTGACGGCAATGTAAGTCACTTGCAGGGCCCCCAGGACTGGCGCCAAGCAAAGCTTGGTGCTGATCGCCCCCTGCTGGAGGTGGCAGGACTTGCGTGGACCAGTCCTCCAAGCTGCATAGCCCCAGACATGGTTTATAGATTTTCTTAGAAGGTAGGATAATAGAAATAAAACAGCAAGAGTCCCAGACCTGAAGAACTCAACACTAGGATGGGAATAGCCCTGAACATCCAGAAATGAAGTGGTTGAGTGCTTGATCAGCCCAACTATTTTTGGTCATTCTTGTTATCTCCATTTTGCTGATGGGGAAACTGAGGCACGGGGTGGTTAAGTAACTCACTAAGGCATATGGCCAGTCATGCAGCCCCTTTGCTCCATGGCCTCTGTTGCCTCGTGTACATGTGCTACTAAGTGTGCAAAGCCTGGGGTGGTTGGTGCAGTGCTTCCCAAGGGACACCATCGAAGCCACTGATGCGACACCAGGTCAGGTTGGGCTGTGGACTCGTGGCCTCCTGGCTCTGGGGCTCTGACTGTTCTCTGAGGAATCTCTGTGTGCCCAGAGGGGAGAACACAGCTGCCTTTAGGAGCAGCAGAACAGCAGAAGGAGTGAGGGGGCCTGGGACGCTCAGACTCTGCTTGTAAAGGTCATGTTACTCTGGAATCTGGGGACCGGGTCACCTTGCCTTGCCCTCTTTCTGCTGCTGCTTGCTGACGCCCCTCCAGTGCTGCATCTGTGCGCCAGGGCTCAGTGGGTGCCCACTCCCGATGGCTGAGCAAATGCATCTCCTCTCTTCCTTCCAAACTGCAGTCACTCACCTCTCAGGGGCGAGAGACGGGGCCGGTGGGGAGGCTTTGCCAGCCCTGTGACTGTGGACTCCCCTGAGACTGTGCCCTTTTGTGCTCTGATGCCAGTGACAGCACGGTGCCATCTTGTCTTACGAGGATGGCAGCGTGGTCCTCAAATGAGTCCTTTTCCCACACCATAACACACTTATGAAATGGCAATATTTGTTCCACCCACAATATTTGTAAACCAGAGATTTGTGGGGTTCAGTTTTGAATTTTTTGTTGTATAATTATAAGGGAAAATACATTAAGGAAGGTTGGCTTTGTACATAAATTACAAAAATAATATGCTCAAAACTTATAACATTATTGGCATATACTCAATGGAAACCACACTTTTTTTGTATTAAATTCTTTTATTGGTACATTGTAGGTATACAACACAATTACATTTCTCATTGGGAATTGTACCTTTACATAATGCATCTTGGTTCTTATTTTTTCCCCATTCCTAGCCCTCCCTTCACACCCTCCACCCTTCCCTATTTACAAAGACTTTATTTCCATTTTTTCCATTTCTCATCATTTTTCCTTTCCCTTCTTTCCTTTCCCCTGCCCCTCCCACTACCCCTACCCCTTTGGACCTTTTCTTCCTATTTTACATTATCGCTTATTCATTCTAATCATTGAAACCACACATATTTAAACTGACAAATGTAGATGTCAGTGAAACCATCAACACAATCAAGAAGATGAAGGGGCCGGGGATTTAGCTTGGTGTCACCATGACTGCCTTGAAAGCACAAGGTCCTGAGTTCGATCCCCGGTACCGGGGGAAAAAAATGATGACCAGCCATCACCCTGAAAAATGTTGTCCTATACCTTTACAGTCTCTTCATTATAGCCCTCAGCCCAGCACTGTCTGCTCCACCCCCATTCATCTACCATCTGCCTTCTGTCGCCATGAGTTACTTTTATTCTCTGAAATTTTACAAAAATGAATTCATACAATACGGACTCCTTTTTTTTTTGAGGGGGGAGTCTGGCTTCTTTAATTTGACAAATATTTTGAGATTCATTCATTTTGTAGCACATATCAGTTAAATCCTTTTATGGCTGAGTAGTACTCCCTTGTATGGATATACTGTATCATGGTTAATTTATCCATTCACATGTTGATGGACATTTGTGTTGTTCAGAGTTTTATTATTATTATAAATAAAGCAGCTACAAACAGTTGTGTTTGTATCTTTATAAAAAACTTCTATTTCTGTTGGACATCTAGGAGTAGAATGGCTGGATCACATGGTAAGTGTATGTTTGTTTAAGAAACTGCTGAACTGTTTTCCAGTGTGGTCATACAATTTTATATTCCTACCAGCAATGTGCGAGAGTTCCAGCATTTGGTATGGTCAGTCACAACTGTGGTCATTCTACTGGGTGTGGCGCTATTTCAGTGGCTTTTTGAGTTGCATTTCCTTAATGATCATATTGAGTGTTGTTTCATGGGCTTATTTGCCATCCACATACTTTTTTGGTAAAGTATCAGTTGAAATCTTTTTTTATTGCCTTTTTTCATATTACCCAATTTGGAGTACTCTTTATATATTCTGGATAGAAGCTCCTTATCAGAAATTCATGATTTGCAAATATTTTCTCCCAGTTTCTCTGAGTGATTTAAAAAATAAAATCAAAAGTTTTAAACTTAAGTCCAATTTATCAAGGTTTTCTTTTGTGCATCTTGCTTTTGGTGTCATAGCTAGGAATCTTTGCCTAGCTCAAGGTCACAAAGGTTTTCTTCTACATTTTATTTATTTATTTTTCTATTAAGTTTATTGGTACATTTTAGGTATAAAATACAGTTACATTCACCATTGGGATCTTGTACCTTTACATGAGTATCTTGGTTATTTTTTTCCCCTTTCCCTGCCCACCCTTCCCTATTTGCAAAGACTTTGTTTCCATTTTTTTTCCTTTTCTCGTATTTTTTCTTTTTCCTTCTTTCCTTTCCCCTACCCCTCCAACTTCCCCTACTCCTTTAGACCTTCTCTTCCTATTACAGAATATCAATTATACATTTTTAAAAATTATAATATCAAGATCTAGAAGACAAGACCACAGATTTTACAGAATTTAAAAGGATGTAGAAAGCATATTACAAAAATCTTTTTTGAAATAAATTGGACAACTTCTAAGAAGTACCTTGGAAGATAAATTAATGAACCTGACTCTGGAGGAAATACAAAATTTGAATAGAACCTATTAAAATACATTCCTGGCTTGAAAACCTACCTATATGACAACAACAGGCCCATATACATTTTAACTGATAAATTATATCAAACATTTAAAGCAGGAAGAAAAAGCCATATGATCCTGTCAGTAGTTGGAGAAAAAGTATTGGACTAAATTCCACAGCTGTTCATGGTAAAAGCTATCAGGAGACTAGAAGTAGAACAGAACCTTCTCAACAGATAAAAGACATGTACTCCATACTTCCAGCAAAAACGCCTTATATGAATGGAGAAGATATAATGCTTTCTCCCTAAGGTGGGGAACAAGGGCAGCTATGCCTACTCTTCATCTGTCCATTAAACTTTGAAACATAGACCCAAACCAAAATAGTCTGGCAATAAAATGACACAATTAAGATAGGATTGGCAAGGTAGAAGTAAAATCTTTATATGTAGGTGAAATGATCA